TCTCCCATATTGCCCAGCGTCTCTACATCCCACTCCACTTCTCCCATAATACCCAGTGTGTCTACATCCCACTCCACTACTCCCATAATGCCCAGCGTCTCTACATCCCACTCCACTTCTCCCATAATGCCCAGTGTCTCTATATTCCATTCCACTTCTCCCATAATGCCCAGTATGTCTACATCCCACTCCACCTCTCCTATAATGCCCAGCATGTCTACATCCCACTCCACCTCTCCCATAATGCCCAGCGTCTCTACATGGCTATTCCTCTGAGATATTCCTTTCCCTCTTTTTTTCTCTCAATTTTAGTTCCAGCTACCATAGTTCATAAATTTAAAAATTTTCAGCTGTAAACATATCTCAACTTTCCCCAAACTGTTAATGTTATTAATACTCTTCACGCTGTGTCATTTTACTTCTACTCAGTAAATCCCTTTGTCTTGCTTTATGTGATTTATTAAAAATTATAATCTTAGAAGCAAAAATTACTTCAACTTAGCAGCCTTCAAAAGATAAATATGTCTTCCTCAGACCTTCAGTATTATAACTCTGGTAGAATCCAATACTTAAGAAATAAATTATGTGAAATGGTGAGTTATTTTTGTTGGTATGGGAATTAGGAAACTGAAGGGGACCATTAATTCTGAATTTTATGAGCATTCTTACTTATCCTCAGTTGGACTTTCTCAAAGTACAAGCTCTGCTATTTCAGATCCCACGTCAATAATTTTTTTGCCTGCCATAAACCACCAATGTATTTTCTTTGATACCCCCTAAGGATGAACATTAAATTATCTTGAAACCAACTGAGTTGAAAAAGTTGTCTCATACTTTAAAAGCTAGTACAGATTTTATTGTATTTTTTTTAAGATCTTATGACTGGCTTAGATCTTTATGGAAGCAATTTAATTTTTCATATATATGAGTATATGAGTACATATCTTCACTCAGTGTAATCCATTTATTTCATTTGATTTGTTACTGTATGTTTAAGGTGTGATTTGAAGCTAGGTGGAAAGATTGGAAAAGTGATTGTCACTGAAGAACATTGCTTCTACTTCTGGGTGAAGAGAAGGATGTGGCCTGTAACCATCACTCCCACCTGGCAGCTGTTCTTCTGTTTTCCTCTGTATAAAGCTATACATAATATTGAGACACGGCTTTATAAAAGGACCCTTTTTGGAGTGATCTCCTTGTTTTTTATATTTTTCAGGCATAGGTTGTGGTTCTTCCAGACTTCTCAAAATGCCTTACTTTTTTT